TCAAACAGTACAAAAGTTGTTTTTCACCCATAACTCAGTGGACTTTAATCAGCCAAGCAGCTACATCTTTTAAAAATAAATGGATACCCTATATAATAAAGAGCTAATATGCTAATTAGACCAAACAGCAGAACAACCATCAGACGACTTTCCGGATGACTATGCAGACGACCTTCTGGACGAAGCCGGGGCTGCAAGGGGCTGTGTGGACCGAGCCCCTTGCATGAATTTCATGCATCCCCACAGGCAGTAACCGTTCTGGTTTCTGTCAGCGCAGATAAGTGAGCCTAGGCCTGAAGTTCACTTAAATGGAATCAACTCTTCCTACATGATGTCCTTTTGCATTTGGCTTCTTCACTTAAACATGATGTTTTTGAGATCTATCCACATTGATATGAGCAATGTATGAGTTCCAGTTGCTCCATATCCTTGCCAACATGTAACAGTATTGTCAGTCTCTTTAATTTTAGCTATTGTACTAGGTTTGAAGTAGTACCTCAATATGTTTATACTTGCGTTCCCCAATGACAATGTTGTATGCCATTCATTTATTGGCCATTTATGTATCTTCTTTTGTGAAATGATTGTTCATATATTTATAATAGAGGCCCGGTGCACAAAATTTGTGCATGGGGATGGGGGGTGTTCCTCAGCCCGGCCTGCACCCTCTCCAATCTGGACCCCTCAGGGGATGTCCGACTGCTGGTTTAGGCCCAATCCAGGACGGCTGGCTCCTAACCCCTCGCCTGCCTGCCTGATCGCCACTAACCACCTCTGCCTGCCTGATCACCCCTAAGTGCTGGCCTGATCGCCCCTAATCGCCTCTGCCTCAGCCCCGCCCCCGGGACCCAGGATTCCTTCCTCTGGCCAGCCGCAGGCACCCGGGAACCGAGCTTCTCTCCCTCTGGCCGGCAGCAGGCATCTGGGCCAGCTGCAGCTACAGGGGACCATGGGCGGGTGGCTTTGCCTGGGTAGGCCGCAGGCTCCCGGGACCATGAGTGGGTGGCTTTACCTGGGCCGCAGCCGCGGGCACCCGAGACCGCGGGGCAGGCAGCTTTTCTCCCTCTCCCAGGCCGCAGCCGCAGGTGCTGGTGCCCGGGGCCGCGGGGCAGGCGGCTTTTCTCCCTCTCCTGGGCCGCAGGCCCTCAGCCCTCGCAGCCGCTGTGGCTTTGTCCGGAAGGATGTCCGGAAGACATCTGGTCTAAATAGCATATTACCCTTCTATTAGTATAGATACTTATTCCAGTATATCTGTTGAAAAGACTTCCTTTCCCCATGGGAATGTCTTGGTGTCTTTGTCAAAAATCAACTATGCTTGTATGGGTCTATTTAATATTTTCTATTCTGTTTCATGGATCTATTTGTTTATCCTTATGCTAATACCATATTATCAATTATTCCAGTAGCTTTAAAGTCTTGAAGTCAATTAATGTGAGTATGACAACTTTCCTATTCTTTAAGATTGTTTTAGATATATAAATTCCTTAAACTTTTCTAAACAGATTTTACAATCATCTTGCAATTTCTATAAAAAATCTTGTTGAGGTTTTAATTGGGAATGTACTGAATCTATGGATCAATTTGGGAGAAGTGATATTCTTGGAAGTCTCAATATTCTTAACAATATCAAGACTTTGAATAAAAAAACATGGCATATCCCCATTTAATTTCATTCAGCAGTAATTTCCAGTAAATAAGTCTTAAATGTCTCTTTATTCCTAATTGCGTATGTTTTATCGCAAATGAAATTCTTATGAGCTTATTTTCTAATTTTTGCTGTTGTATTATATATATAATTGGTTTTTGTATATTGATTCTGAGAGTAGTTTGGTAGATTCTTTAGGACTGTCTACATAAATAATGTCTTAGAGTGAAAACACTTTTTTTGTATTATTTTCTCATGAATGAATGTTGAATTTTGTTAGGTGATGTCTCTGAACCTACTAAGATGACTATAAGGTTGTTAATATAGTGATTTTCAAATGTTTCACTAACTGTGCATGCCTGAGATAAACCTTACTTGGTCATAATGTATGTGGAGTACAGTACAGATAATATTGCTTTATTTGATTCACTAGGCTGTAATTTTCTCTCCTTGTAATGCCCTTGTCAGATTTTTGGTTTGGGGCTATGCAGACTTTATAAAATGAGACTGAATGTGTTTCTTTCTCCTATATTTTCTGATAGTTTGTGTAAAATTGGTATATATTCCTTAAATGCTTCATAAAATTTATGAGTAAAGCTATCTGAACTTGGGGTGTCCTAAAAAAAAAAAGGTTTTCTGATAAAGTTTGTGTAAAACTGGTACTAATTTTCCTTAAATGTTTCATAGAATTCACTAATAAAACTATCTGGACTTGGAGTTCTCTACAAAGAAAGGTTTTTCGTGTGAATTTAATTTAGTAAATTTTAGGGATTTTTCTCACATCAAACAAATGATTCTTTTAAAAGAAACTAGAAATCAAAAATAACGAAGTTTACCTTTTATATTTACCCATATATTCACATTTCAGGTGATTTCATTTCTTCCTTTAGATGTAAGTTTCCCCTACTGTTACTTTCTTTGGCCAGCATTCCTTACAACACAAGTCTGTGACTTTCTGCTGGAGTAGTAATCACCAGCTCCTGCAGACTAGAGGGAGCCGTAAGGTGATAGCTATATACAGATAGATCTGGGCCAGTCCAGGTTCACCTCCTTCAAAGGTTGAAGCATTCCTTCCAGTTTCTGTTTACTTTCTAGGACTCTCTAGTGCTTAAATTTTTAACTATGGAAGGGTTAGCCTGCCTGATACAGGTTCTTCCACCCTTTCTGGAGACCAGAATTCCTCTGAAGTTTCTATTTTTGATTCAGTGGTAGTACTAATTAATAAAGAACGCTAAATCTTGTCACTAATTTTAGAATATTCCATCACAGGCTTATACAAAAGCATCATAGAAACTCTGTAAGTATAATGTAAGTGTAAAATGGGGCTAGATAAGCTAACCTTACTAGATTTATCTTCATAAATTTGGCGACAGTTTTTACTCCTCCATTTTCAAATAACTAATAAAATGTTAAACATTGTTAAAAAAAAATCTTGCAATAACTAGAGACTTCCCTATGACTAACATTAAGATACTCTGGCTGTAATTATTCCAGCAATGCTAATTCCAAAAGCATATCAGGAAAAACAGTCAAATGACTTACTGAAATTTAGATTATCTGGTGTCATTTTTGAACTGTCAAATCAAGTGCGTGTCTATGAAGAAAATAAGTTAGTGTTAAATGCACCTTTTTTTTCATGAGTATGATGACTCTATGGAATTGTATACATTGTAAATTATATATTCTTTTTTAAAAATGAGAGGATAATAAATGCATTTGTCTATAAATATGTAAATAATATCTGTGTGTGTGTGTGTGTGTGTGTGTGTGTATCAATCTCAGGAATTATAAAGGAGTGTGTGTCCATCTCATCCACTGTAAAGGCTGCATAGTATTTAAAAGATACATAATAATTTGTTTAACACATTAACTAATGAGCATTTAGGTAGTATTTTAGATTTTGTTTATATAAAACAATGCTTCAATAAACATCACTGTACATATTTCTTTGCTTACTTGTCTGATATTTTTCTTAAGATAAGTTCTTAGAGTTTTTAAGTAAATTATATAAGCATATACATGCATGCACATACACATACACACATATGTGTATGTATTTGTGTACAGTTGTGCCCATTTACACTCCTAGAAAGATGATGGGATAGTTTAGTTCTTGTTGCTTTTGACAAAAAGCAGCTATTATCAAGTTTTTTAACATTTGCCAACTGGAGAGTTTTTAAAAATGACAATGTAATGCAATTTTAATTTGCGTTCTTGGAGTAGTTGGCCATTTTAGTTCTTTTGTGAATTTCATGATTTGTAGTTTTTCTTCTACCAGGTTATCTGTCTTTTTCTTAGTAGGTTTTTAATGGAGGTTAATGGGCTCTTTGTCTACCCTAACAACATAGCGCTTTTAGGTAGGGCCTGCTGGATTTGAACTCTGAACCCCAGCACCACCACATCCTAGTTAGAGAAAGGGAGAAAGAAAGAGAGAGAGAGGGAAACATTGATGGATTGCCTCCTGTATGTACCCCAACCAGGCACTGAACCCACCACCTTATGGTGCATGGGACAATGCTCCAAACAACTAAGCCACACTGGCAAGGGAAACAATAGTTATTTTTAAAGTATATATGGTAAAGGGATGTGACTTTCATTTGATATAACAAAGACAATATTGAAACTGTGTCAGTTATTCTCTTGCAGTTCAATTTTCTTTGCTAATCTCACTCCTACACATTTTCCTTCTATCCTTCACCTTTTAGTACCAATAATTAGGTCTTATGTAGAAGTGCCCAGATTTCTTAACTAAATTTTTTGATGATGGTCACAAAGTCATTGCATAACTATTAAAGTCTATTATATCTATGTAATAAAGCAGTATTGTAAGAAGCAAGTATGCATTACTAAAAATGATCAAATAATATAAGGTTTAATTAATTATTCTCTGGAATTTAAAAATAAATAAGTCATTAAGTGTTATTAACTAAAAAGTGTAATAAATTCCAAACTATCAAGAAATGGGTTTAAGCCAACGGTTCTCAACCTGTGGGTCGCGACCCCTTTGGCGGTCCAACAACCCTTTCACAGGGGTCGCCTAAGACCATCCTGCATATCAGATATTTACATTACGATTCATAACAGTAGCAACATTACAGTTATGAAGTAGCAACAAAAATAATTTTATGGTTGGGTCACAACATGAAGAACTGTATTTAAAGGGCCAGAAGGTTGAGAACCACTGGAGTTAATAAAAAGTTACAATCATACTATAATCCTTTAGTAAATATAAGAAATGTGAATTTTAAAAAAAGCATTTTAAGCATATTTTAATTGATAAAAAGCATATCCATATTTATTACTCTAGATAGATTAGACTATTTTTAGAGAACTAGGATAACTTGAAACCATTTACCTGTTGGAGGCAGGCAGTCTTTCCAATCAAAATAGCCTGCATAAATTCCAGGTTCTAAGGAGCCAACAATGGGATCTGCTTTCAACTCAATGTAATTTTCAAACAGTCTTTGGTCTAATTCTTTCAATGAGGCCATGCTAACCTAAAAACACATAATAAAGAGTAATTATAAGTTGTCATTTGAGGGTGGAAAAAAAGGAAATAATGTAAATTTAAAAATACTTCAGCATATTTTAAAAGTACTTATCAATTTTCCTACAAAAATCACATCTTTATTTTATTAATGTTCAGTAATAAAGACCACGCTTAGCATGACTATTCAATAAAATAAGAATGAATCCCCATGTGTGGACTACAGGTCTTTTACAGAATGTCCAGCCCACGTGTACTGGGAGTTCCTGATGGCGGTGGGAGTGGAGCAGGGCGAGGAGGTTAGTGAGCATCCGTCTGACCAGTCTGTGCCAAGTCTCACTGGTACCCAAGAGGCCAAGCAGTTACAGTAGGTGCATGGAGCACTAAGGGTGGAAAGTGAAGAGTCTGGGCCTAGGTTCCTCTTCAGTGGACTGGCGGTCTAGCTGCTTCCACACCATTGACCCACGAAACACAAGCTTCTCTCCAACAAAACACCTGAACTTCAAGAAGTTAATGTTGAAAAACAAGCACACAGCTAGTGAGTCTTGCAGCTATAAATGAGAATATCTGCCAAGCAGGGAATTCAGCTGTAGGAGAGAAAAGCAACCACTTGAACTTAGAAAAATACTGAAAACCCTTAAGGAGGTTAAAGTATAATATAAAAAAAGACTTCATGAAGATAAAATACATGATTTCATCAGCTAACAACTGACTAGATTAATTGATGAAATTGCTGGTCACTACTAAGATTGAAATTAAGTGCAATTAAGTACTTCAAAGCAGAGAGTAAAAATGTAAAGAGGTGGATATTATGAAGGAAGAGACTTAGAAGATAGATCCAAGAGCTCTAATATACAAAAAAGAAAAAGAAAAAAGAATTAAGTAGAGAACTATGAGCAGTTAGAGAAGAGGTAATAATTATCTGAATAGGCTTGCTGATTTCCAGGCTAGACTGTAAAGACACAGCTAGGCAAATACTATTAAAAGTACCAATTTTCTAAAATAATAAAAAGAGAAACTCTTTTAGGCTTCCAGATTAAAACAAATAATTTACCTACAAGAGAAAAAAATCAGTCTGTTATCGGCTTTTCTCAGATGCAACATTGGAACCTGAAATCACTGGAATAGTATCTACAGGAATAAAAGAAATGCAACCCAAGAGTCCTATATTTAGCTAAGATATCATTCACTAACAGAGTCCAAGAAACTTATTTTTGAATATGTGAAGATTCAAAGAATATATCACCCATGTAACCTAAGAAAGGGCTCTCACCCAAAAGCAAATATATCAGACTGAGAAGGATGAACAACTGAGGAAAATGTAGTAGGGAATGAACCTTGAGCTCCCTTCCAGCCTCCTTCATCCCTCTTTTTCTCTAATATTTAGAAACATAAACTTAAATGATGATTGGAGATATTCTGGGAATGATACAAGTGCTAATTCTTGAAAGAGGAGAGGCATCCAAAAAGGAAATATTAATAAGAAGCTACAATGACAATGAAAATACAACATATCAAAATCTGTGCGACAGAGGTAAAGCAATGGGTTTTATCACCAAAAACATATCCCTCAGAAAGATTTAAAAGAAAAAAATCAAAATTAATATTTTTATCTTTTACCTTCAATAGCTAGAAAGAGAAAATTGAACTCAAAAAAGTATAAGTAATAATTAAAGATAAGACCAGAAATCAATTAAATTTTTAAAAAGATTAATATGAGAAAACCAACAATGCCCAATATAGGCTTTTGAAAGGGATATTATAGTTTTATGTAATCTGTCAACACAGGGGAAATTGACAAACTCCTGAAAAACACAATCTTCTAAAAATGGCACAAGTAGTCCTATATACTCTAATAGAGTCCATTATTTCAAACTAGAGGCCCGGTGCATGAAAATTCGTGCACTCCGGGGAGTCCCTCTCGCAGTCTGGGACCACTCAGGGGATGTTCACCTGCCAGCTTAGGCCCACTCCCTAGAGGACGGGGCCTAAGCTGGCAGTCAGACATCCCTCTGGCAGTCCGGGAGCCCTTGGGGGATGTCTGACTGATGGCTTAGGTCTGTTTCCTGCAGGGAGCAGACCTAAACTGTCAGCTAGACATCTTTAGAGCTGCCAAGGAGGCGGGAGAGGTTCCTGCCACCACCGCTGCGCTAGCAGCCATCAGCTCGGCTTGTGGCTGAGCAGAGGTCCCCCTGTGGGAGTGCACTGACCACCAGGGGGCAGCTCCAGCATTGAATGTCTGCCCTCTGGTGGTCAGTGCGCATCATAGTGGTCATTCCAGGTCGTTCCACCCTTAGGGTCAATTTGCATATTACCCTTTTATTATATAGGATGCTCTCATATGAGGAGAACTTCAGGACCAGATGTTTCACTGGTGAATTCTACCAAGCATTTAAGGAAGAAATTATTACATGCAAACTTTACTATAGACCAGAGCCTGAGAATGTTTCCTATTTTGTTTGATGAGGCCAGCAAAACTCTGATATAAAACACTGTCAAGAATACTGTAAGCAAAGAAAATTACAGACCAATAGGCCCCATGAACAAAGACATAAACATCCTAACAAAATGCTGGAAAATTGAATCTATAAATAAATAAAAAGGATACATTATAGAGAAGTGGAATTATTTTAACAGGTGAAAAAAAAAGGACTCGATAAATGCCCCTTCTCCCACTTATATACAAGATTATAATGGAGGTACTAGTCCATGCAACACAGTAAGAAAAAAATATCAGAAAAGAAGTTGAACCATCTTTTCAAGACATACTATAAACCTATAATAATATATGCATAATTAACACAATGATAATGAACAAAATGCAATACTTAGTAAAAGATAAATCATAGACCAGAATATAACAACTAAAACCACAAAGCCCCTGGGAAAAAAATATTCAAGACATTGAGGCCGACAAGGATTTTGACAGGATATGAAAGGCATTAAACATTTAACAAACTGACAAACTGGGTCTCATCAAAATTAAAAATTTCTACTCAAAAGATACCATTATAAGAACAGAATAGCAAGCTACAGGCTGGGAGAAAAAATAGACACCTGACAAAGAATTTATACACAGAATTCTAAAAATCACTCATAGAAAGGTGAACAACCCAATTAAAAAATGAGTAAGCAAAAGAAGATATCTAAAAATGGATATCTGCATATATAAGATGCTTAAAATCATTACTTTTATCAGGGACAGTCAATGAAAGCAATGAGACTGACTAACATAAGAAAGGTAACATTGTCGGTGAAGATGTGGAGCACCTGGAAGACTCATACATTGCTGGCTGAGTGTAAAATAAGAAAATAATTCTTGGAAAACAATTCTGTTTCTAATCAACTTATTCCCTGACTAGCAATCCCACTTCTAGGTATATAAAGAACCTCCCTTATCTGCAGGGATACATTTCAGGACTCCCCATGGATGCCAGAAACCCTGGATATCAAACCCTATTCACAATATTTTTTTCTATAAATATATACATATGATAAAGTTTAACTTGTAAACTGGGAACAGTAAGAGATGAACAACAATAGCTAATAATAAAATAGAACAATTATAACAATATACAGTACTGTAATAAAAGTTATGTGAGTGTGATCTGGTCTCTCTCTCTCACAAAATATCTAATTGTACTACATGGACAGTGTGGTTACTCTGGACAAAGGGATTATTCACATCCCAGGAAGGGATGGAACAGGACAGAAAGAGATTTCATTATGCTGCTCAAAACAGTACGCAATTTAAAACATGAATTGTTGCCCTGGCTGATGTTTCTAAGTGGTTAAAGCATTGGCGCACTCTCCAAAGGGTTTTGGTTCAATTCCCAGTCAAGGGCATGTACCTGGGTTGCAAGTTCAATAATCCCCAGCCCAGGTAGGGGCACATGGGAGAGGCAACCAATCCATGTGTCTCTCTCTCATTAATGTTTCTCTCTCTCCTTCCTTCCCTCTTTCTCTCCCTCTCCCTCCCTTCAACTCTCTCTAAAACTCAATGGAAAAAATATCCTAGGGTGAGGATTAACAAACAAAAAAAAATAATAAAAAATAACTAATAAATACATAAGTAAATAAATAAAACATGAATTGTTTATCTGGAATTCTCCATTTAATATTTTCATTCCATGCTTGTTCATAGGCCTAAAACTATGGAAAGTGAAACTGCAGTTGAATGGGGAATTCCTGTATCCACGATAAGAGAGTACAAATGTTCACAAAAAGATTTTATAGCAATGTTCACACCACCTACATTCATTAAACCTACAATTCCAACAATCCAATGTCCAGTATTATGAGAATGATAAACAAAATTTGGTTATACAAACTCAGCAATAAAATAAATTACTGAGAGACACACAACTTCAGTGAATCTCAGAAAGTATTAAGTTGGAACAAAAGCAGCCAGACACAAAAGGCGACATACAAACTGTATAGTTGCATTTTATATTCAGTTGAAGAACTGGCCAAAAAAAATCTATGCCCACAGAAATCAGAATAGTGGTGAGATAGTCCTATTGACTGGAATGGGGCATGAGGGAAATTTTTATCTCTTGATCTGGGCGGTGGATACTCAGATGTATATATGTGTAAAAAGTCACCAATCTATACACTGGAGATTTGCCTGTTTTACTCTATATAAATTATACTTCAATATTTGTAAAAAATGTTTGAAAAGAAATGGATGAGTAGACAGATACCAGACAAATAAAACAGAGAGTGGAGTGACAGCATAATTTGTGACAAGGCAGGAATAAGGTCAACAATTTTGTTGTGAGAATACAAAAAGATAATTTATAAAACTTGTGTAGCACATTTAAAGTACATAATAAATGCTAGCAGCAATTATTATTATTATTATTATTATTATTATTATTATTATTTCAAGTGCCTTGTTTTCACTAATACCTTGTTCAAACCAGCTATGAACACAGATGTTAACTAAGTGTGCTTGACCCAACTTGAAATGCAAGGGTAAGGACCATCCATTATTAAAGCATCTCCAGA